CCCCCCTTTTTTTTTTTTTTTTTAAATATACTTATTTTGCTATGGGGGAGGGGACTATCAAATGAACAAGATCACTTTTAAATGGTAGTTTTATAAGATGTTATAAACTTGTATCTTTTTACCATTAAAGTGCAGTGTATGTTCCTTCGTGATATATTTAGGATATTTAAATAAAAAGAATGGCGCTTTTCTACATTCCATCTCCTCTTTGAGAAGACTTGATTTGTTGGGGGCACTTTATCACCAAAGGCCAGAGTGGTTTTAATAGGCTCCTTTTCTATGTTAACCACCCTACAACTTGTAACAGAGCAAGCTACCCTGTTAAAACATCTTCTCTCCAAAGAGACACAACAAGTAGAGACAAAAAGGTATCATTTTTGCTGAGAAAGGTTCTCAGCAGCCTGACAAGATGGGTAGGTAGGGTCTCTTAGAAGGTGGTAGATAGCATCACCTGATATCCACTGGCCCAGGTATTCCCAGGTCACACAACAGAAACACACCTGTCGTCCTGAGACCTGAGCTAGGCAGTCTGCTTTTTCTGTCTTGGGGTGAAGCAAAGTGAAGGCTGTGGTCTGAGGCAAGCCTTTATTGTGGGAGAACCCTTCATGAGGTGGGGAATGGTTGCAGCCGTGGGAAGCAGCCCTCTGACAGGCCCTGCCCTGCTGTCCCCCACTGTCCTCCAAGACAAGAATCCTAAGTGAGTGTTGCCTCAGTCAGAGAGAGGGACCAGGACCGTTTGTCTCTTGGAAGCGGGGGTTGATAGTGGTTGTGATGGCACTTTTGTAGAGAGGATTGCTGTCCTGTGGGAAAACATTGTGAACATTGTGTAAGGAAAATAGCAGGCTCTCCCATTGCCTAATCCTGTGAGGCCAACCCAGCATAAGCGGGAGGGACTTGGGTAAGGGTGCTTTGGAGCTGGTTACAGCTTAGGGAAGTAGAAAAAGAGGAAGAGGACCCCAGGGAAGTCAAGTAAGGAAAGCCCAGCCTGTGGCAATAGGAGCTGGCCTTACCTGCTTCCAGTTGAGTTGCTGCCTCTCCTTCTCAAAGCGGCTGTACTCACGGCGATCATAGATTTCCACAGAAAGCCGATAAGCCAGGACTAGCCCTAGTCCCACAGCCACAATGCCACCTATGCAGCCCAGTATGATGGTACGGGTGTGATCTGCTGCTCCCTCTGGTGGGCCAAGGTATAAGAGCTGATCCACAGTTACCCGAAGGGTGTCCAGCCTCCCCAGCCCTGTCACTAAAAACAACCCAGCAGAGCCCAAGGTTGTCTTCCTTGGACCTTAGTCTCATCCCCTCTGCCTTTGCCCTAGGTTTGCAGCTCTACTTCAAACCCATTCACATCCCTAGTTCTGAGGCTCTGTGCACTTACTCTCTTGGGGTCTCACTCTCAGTATGACTCCTTCAGCCACATGCTCCACCAGGAAGAAGAACAGCTGGTTGTCTTGTGTCCTCTCTTTGCACCAGCCATCGTCCAAATTAGGGACCATGGCCACAGTCACATTCACATCGGCACAGGCCACGCTGCAATTGACTGCCAGGGGACCAGTGCCAAAGGCCCCACACTCTGCACAGTCCCTGTTCAGTGAATGTCAATGAGTTCCCATCTGGGCAGCAGCTATCTAGTAGCCCTCCCCTACACACCCTCAAGGAGAGCAGGCAGGTAGGAGTTCTTAGCAAGCTCACTGTGCCCCAACTCCCAAGATGAAAGACCAGAGGCCTCACCTGTATTGCTCACATGGTGACTTGCAACCAAGGCACTGGTCACACAGAGCCCCATAGTAGCCATCCTGGCACTGGCAACGGTTGCATTTGCAGTGTCCATGCCCACTGCAGAGCCCTCCGTTGGGACTGACACAGCTATCCACATTCTCACTGCATTCACATGCTCTGCCCGTGCGGTTGGCGTGACAGTGACATACTCCACATTGGCAGTGTCCAAAGCCTGAGGAAGAACCATGCATAGGGTGATCACCATTTTCACACACAGTTGGCCCAGCATGTCACTATCGTCCTTCTCAATTGTGCTGGGCATGTCCTCTAGCTCATAACCACAATCTTTGAAATTTGCCCTCAGCGTCTAAGTGCGCTAGGAGGCCCTCTTTCCCTCCCTTCTCCCAAAGACTCTAGGTACCTCCACAGAGGATGCCCTCATGCCGTTCACAGCTGGCATCATCACACTCGCACAGACGCCCAGAGCTCTGTCCGCTGCAGCTGCAACGTCCACATTGGCATCGTCCCTTCCCGCTGCACAGGGGCCCTGTCCCATTGGGGGCCCGGCAGCCAGATTCCAAATCTGGGGAGGACAGTTCAGCCTCAGAGCACTCACATAGCTGACCAAGGCGGCCCGGGACACAGCTGGGAGGGGAAAGCAGAGAGAGATGGATCAGTTTGACCATGTCTGGTCTGTCTCTCAAGAGCCTCTAGGGCAGTGATTCTCAACCTGTGAGTCGTGAGCTTTGAGGGTCAAATGACCCTTTCACAGGGGTTGCTTTAGACCATGAGAAAACACAGATGTTTACAATTCATAACAGTAGCAAAATTACAGGTGTGAAATAGCAACAAAAATAATTTATGGTTGGGGGTCACCAAAACATAAGGAACTATTAAAGGGTCATAGCATTAGGAAGGTTGAGAACCACTGCTCTAGGCCCATGTCCTCAAGGGAGATGGAAACAG